GGACAGACATGGTTCCTGCTCTATTCTCATGGAAGATAGAGACAATCAACAAGTAAACACATAAAGAGTATCAGATAGTGAAAAGGGCTATACAGAAATAAAATATGGACACGAGAAAGTATGAGGGGAAGAGAAGTGGGGACACTTTCAATATGTAAGTCAGAGGAGGCCTCTCTGAGGTGACATTCAAACTGAGACATAAATGATGGGGAACCAGATATACAAACAGAGGGAACAGCGGTGCAAAGACTGGCCCATTCAATAAGTAGAAATGAGGCCAGTGTGGTTGAAGGTGGGGGTAGAAAGGGATGAGGCTCAGAGGAAAGTAAGGTCAGATCATAAAGGGGGTCTCTCTTCCTGTGGGCTATAAAAAGATAGCTGGGTTTTACTCTAAGCACATTGAGAAGCCAGTGGAAGTCGTGACGCTGTGGGTTGATATGATCTGATGAACATTTGTAAGAGGAGTACACTGCCTACTGTGTGGGGAATGAATTAAGAAAGAGAAATGCAAGTGGCTAGGAGAGGAAGAACAAAGTCCAGAACTGTAAGAGTCCAGCTGCCACAAGCCCGAATTTGGCCTCTGGAGACATTTCAAGAGGGCAAAGATATCCATGGGTTTATGGATCATGAGGATAACTAAAGATATTGAGCAGATCCAGGTTAAGGGCAGCAGAGTTAGGTTCCAACATTATTAGTCCAGGGTATTTTACTTTCCAAGCTTCAGAGTTCTCATTGAAGACTAGGGCTAACCCTCCCCCTCCCACCACATGCCCACCACTTGAGATTGTTGCATAGAATCAAATTCTTAGCAATGGGCATGGGACAGAGCAGGACCTCAAATGTGATCATCCTTACCCTCAAAAGAAAAGAAAAAAAAATTTTTTTTCTCATTTCCCTGAAAAGGAGGGTGAGAATCTGACCTATCTAAGGATAAAGATAGCAGCCATGGTCTCATTATTCCAATGTGCTCCAGTCACATTTCAATGCCTGTAAGAAGAAAGTCTTACTCAGGAGGCGAGAAAAAAGTTAAAAGAGCCACAATGTATATATAAGAGAAAAATTCCTCTTCTTTTCTTCTGCAGTTTTATAGTCTAGACCAAGGACCTGCCAAATTCTTGGGAGCATTGGTTATATAAGATCAGGCCAGTATCTGAAACCTTCTTGTCCTATGAAGAGCTTCTCTATACATGTATATGTTAGAAGGGATCAAGGGCAGTACAAAGTGGCCTGAGGAAGCATGGGAAAAACCTCTAGATTTGAGGTGAAGCAGATCTGGACTGTGCCACATACTAGCAGCACCTCTAAGTCCCAATTTCCTAAACTGGTAAATGGTAACCACCACGTTTTTTGTAGGGTTTGCCCAGAAAGTGGCAAACATGCCAGAAAAGCAATGCCAATGAAGAGCTTTGTAGTTACCACTATTTGCCATTGTTCAGAAGGTCCAGAATTTGGTTCAAAAGTCATGCAGTTAGTCAAGTGTCTGAAAGCCAAGCTCCAAACCTTGTTCTGATTCCAAAAGTTATCCTTCATCACTATATACTAAAAAAGACTAAGAATTTGCCTTCTCACTTTTTTTACCTATATCTTCCACCTCCAACCTAGACTGGCTCACAGTACATGCTTAAAATATATTTGGATGTGACCAAACAGAATTCAGTTACAAAGGGAGGGGAAAAGGTACACAAGATCATGTGCCCCTTAATATTCATCTGATGACTGAAATATATGACTTGAGTAGAAGACTTTAGGCAGTGTGACCTTGGCCAGATCCTCTCTCCTCTTTGAGCCTCCATTTCCACTACTATAAAATGGAAAAATTCTCTCAGATTGCCCACATGCAAGGGCCATCTGGATATTTCTAACATCATTCACGGACCATACAAAATTATCAACTTAAAAATTAGCCCTGGCCAGTTTGGCTCAGCGGTAGAACGTTGGTCTGCAGACCAGAGTCACGGGTTTGATTCTGGTCAAGGGCACGTACCTTTGTTGCGGTTCAGTCCCGGGCCCTGGTCCGGGTCGTGCGGGAGACAACCGAGTCAGTTTGGCTCAGTAGCTGAGCATTGACTCATGCACTAGGAAGACACCAGTTCGATTCCTGGTCAGGGCACATGCCCAGGTTGTGGGCCAAACCTCCAGTGGGGGACATGCAGGAGGTAGCCAATCAATGTTCTCTCTCATCAATGTTTCAGTCTGTCTCTCCCTCTCCTTTCCTCTCTAAAAAAAAATTAAAATAAAAAAAATAATGAGCCAGCTAGCCTGGCCAGTGTGGCTCAGTGGACTGAGCATCGACCCATGGACTGAGAGGTCCCAGTTCAATTCCTGGTCAGGGCACATGCCTGAGTTGCGAGTTCAGTCCCTGGTAGGGGGTGTGCAAGAGGCAGCCAATCTATGTTTCTCACATTGATGTTTCTCTCTCTCTTTCCCTTTCTCTCTCTCTAAAAAAAAATAAATTAAAAAAACATATAAAAAATAATTATCTGCCCAATATATATTCCCATATGTGCTTGTAGGTATAGAGACTATCGCTGGAAGGAAAACACAAGGAAATGAAAAACAGGGAATATAACCAGGTACTTAGGTCAGCAGTAAGAAGACTTTTTTTAGCACTATGCCCTTTTGTGTGTCATTGGCTTATATCACTGTGTCATTTTTCTCTAAAAACAAAACAAGTTTTAAAGCCTTGTTCATAAACTTATGTGTAGTAAAATGGGTCTAGAAAAGTAATCCACAAAGGTATAAGTGGCTTCCTCTGGAGAAATAGGAGGGGTAATTAGGGAACTTTTGCCGGATTTGTAATGTTCAATTTCTTCACAAGTAGAACATATTCATGTAATATCTCTGTAATTAAAATTAAGTGGTACAACTTAGGAGGGCATTTTGGCAGTATCCATCATGACTGAAAAAACACATGCTCTTTGCCCTAGCCAGTTTTCCAGAAGCTGCCAAAGACTACTGTGCTAGAAAATTCATTGCAACATCATTAGCAAAAACTAGAAAGAACATAAATATCCATCATTAAGAGATAGTTAAGAAAATGTTGGTGCAAGTATACAATGAAATTTTATGAGACCTTTAAAAAGAATGATGTAAGTTAAAGACAAAGAAAGAATCTTAAAAGCAGCAAGAGAAAAGCAGTTCGTTACCTGCAAAGGATCTCCCATAATACTGTCAGCTGATTTCTCAAAAGAAACTTTGCAGGCCCTGGCCAGTTTGGCTCAGCAGTTAGAGCGTCTGCCTGCAGTCCAGAGAGACCCGGGTTCGGTTCCCTCTAAGGGCACATACCTCGGTTGCAGTTTGTCCCCAGCCCTGGTTGGGTCGTGCAGGTGGCAACCACTCGATGTTTCACGTCAATGTTTCTCTCTCTCTCTTCCTCTCTCTCCCTCCCACTCTATCTGAACAAAAAACAAACAAACAAAAATGTCCTCAGGTGAGGATAAAAAAAAAAGAAACTTTGCAGGCCAGAAAGGAGTGGCAAGAGATATTCAAGGTGATGAAAAGCAACAACTTACAACCAAGATTACTCTACCCTGCAAAGCTATCATTTAGAATTGATGGACCTAACAAGTTTCCCAGACAAGAAAAAGCTAAAGGAGTTCATCACCACCAAACCAGTATTATATGAAATGTTGAAGGGTTTTCTTGAAAGAGAAGAACAACAAAAATAGGAACAATAAAATGGCAATTAATGCATATCTATCAACAATTGAATGTACAAACAAAATGAGCAAGCAGAATAGAAACAAACTCATACAGAGAACTTTTTGTTGCTTGCCAGATGGGAGGGGACTGGAGTGGATGGGTGAAGAAGATGAAAGAATTAAGTACAAATTAGCTGTTAGACTGATGAACCTCAAAGGGAAGGGGGGAGAGAGGGTGGGATGATATAAACCCAAGAACTTTTATGCATATATGCATAAACAATAGACACTGACAAGAGTGTGGGAAAGACAGGAGGGGGGCGGGATTGGGGAGAAGGGGGTCAATGGGGAAAAAAGGGGAGACATCTGTAATACATTCAACAATAAAGATGAGTTAAAAAAAGAAAGAAAGAAAAACATCCCAGCCATTGTTAATTAAAACCAACAAACACAAATAATCAGTGACAGACACCAGAAATGGCAAATGAGCTGGTGGATGGGGTAAAGAAGGAAAGGCTGGTTGAAGATAATAAACCTTCAGTTGTAAGATAAATAAGCAAATGTATAACATGATCACTGTAGTTGGTAACACTGCATTGTTTATAACAACTTTTCTGAGAATAGAAATTAAGTATTTTTACACAAAAGGTAGACATGTGAAGTGGTGGATTTATTATCTTGATTGTGGGAATCCCTCCACAATGTATACATATATCAGATTATCATGTTGTACACTTTAAATATTTTACAACTGTATTTGTCGATTTTACATCAAAAAAATTGGAAAAAGGTTGTTTATATAAAAAAAAGAATTATGTAGCTTTATATGTACAGATATGAAGCCCTTAGAGTTGAATAAAATAGTGTGTATGTTGTTACCATTTTATAAAATGAAGAACAAGAAAAACTAGGATGGGGGTAACAGGTATACACAGATAAGCTTGTCTTTATACAAGTTTTTCTGAAATGATACACAAGAAACTGAGAAAAGTGGGTTAACTCTGGGAATGGAAACAAGGTGACCAAAGGACAGGTGAGTGGAGACCTTTTTGTGACCTTTTTTTAACATATACTCTGTAGTCTTTCAGTTTTCTCAACTTGTTCGTGTATTACAAATACGTCTTGACTTTCTTAAAAAACCAAAAACTTTTTTTTTTTTTTTTAAGGAAAGCACCTTTCGTCTCGGTTGCGCTGGGTGGGAGAAGCTTCCAAGTCAACCGCCTGTGACTTGAAGTCCCAAGCTTCCGCTCACTCGCTGAGGGGCCTCGGTGGCCCCACCTAATAAGTGACTTCCCTTGGGGGACGGGCCGCTCCGTCCGGCGTCCGCGAGCCCGGCTCCCGTTCCCGGCCCGCGCTCACCGCCAATGATGGTCCGGATGAGGGAGGCGTGCCCGGGGCAGTCGACCAGCGTGACCTGAAGCTGCGGCTCGCCATGCTCAGGCCCGGTTTCCGGCGCCGGGCAGGGCACGGGCAGCGCCGACCGCAGGCGAGCTGGCAGCGGCACCAAGAAGCACGAGAAGCCCAGGTCGAGCGTGATGCCACGCTCGCGGCTCTGCGGCTGTTTATCGAAGGCGGCGGTGGAGGCCGTGGTGCTCAGCGCCCGCGCCAGCGCCGTCTTGCCGCTATCGATGTGGCCCAGCACGCCCACGTTCACGTTTACCCGCTGCCCTGACATGCCGCCGCCACCTCCAACACCCGCCGGTTCGCCCCTCCCGCGGCCGCCGCTGTGGTCCTACCCTTTAAGCTGTCCCCTCTGCCCCCGTGCGCTCAGCACTCCCGTTCCGGCCCCGAAGTTTCCGCCTTCCAGGCACCTGCCGGCACCACCAGACACCACGCAGAAGAGTACCACAGGGACGGGACTCAACCGAAGTTACCCACTACAGGGCTACTCTCACCTGACTCCTCCCACCTAGAGCTTGGAGGAGCCCGGGATGGGGGAATCCATCTATTCATTCTACCATTCATCCATTGATTTGAACAAGCTTTCATTAAGTGCCTCCTGGGTACCAGGCACTCTTCACAGCACTGGGATGCGGCGTCATCTCGACATTATACTGTATTGGAGTGAGGGTGAAGCTCACAAACAGGTGAACTGATGACTGAGCCAGAGAAGTTCAGAGGGTGAAACGCCCTCTAGGGAAAATAAAAACAGAGATTAAAAAGAACTAGAGCTTTTAATTAAATGAATGAATGAATGAATGAATGAATGAATGAATGAATGAATAGAGCTCCAGGAGAAAGGAGGACAGCTACCTTGCAATGGATGGTCTGTGGAGTTGCTGTTTGAGCTGAGACTCCAAGTTTGAAAAGGAGCCAGCCATGGGGAAAATTTGGGAGAGGGTGTTAGAAAATAAGAAAGAACAATGTTATTTCTGACTCAGGAATTCTCACCCTGGAAGTCTATAGCCTGGCCTTAGTAGGGGTGCAAATCTCCAAACTGTATGTAAAATTTTGTGTTTATGTGCATGTGCTGGAGAGAGAGTCCATAACTCTCACTAGATTTTCAAAGTGTCTAGAATGACCAAAAAGTTGTCAACAACCGATTTAAGTCTCTGCACTGGCCAGATAGGTAACTCAAAGGAGAGAGAGTAGCAGGATTTAAGATGCCAGAGGGTAGTAGAGACTGTGGAGAAGTAAAGAGCACGTGCTCAGTGTAAAGGGGAAAGCTATTGCTCAGCTTCAGTCAATTGATATCAGGCAGGACTGCTAGACCAACATTGCCCAATATTACCATTTTTCAAGAGAAGAGTGTTTCTGTATGAAATCTAACTTTTATATGTTGACAACTAATTGAGCTTTGAATTTAAACACTATGGGGGCCAATCACAAAATTTGTTAAATTTTGCCTGGCAGTCAATTTGCCCTCTGTGATGAGCCAGGCAATGTTCTGATGTAGTCAAGCCTACAGTAAGGGCTCTCTGATGCCTCCTGTGGTCCAAGCTCTGCACTAGGAAAAGGGTCCCAGAGATGGGCAGCACAGTGCAGTCCATCCTGCAACATAAAGATGAGGAGGGCACATACTGAGATAGCAATGAGCCATGTGCTGCAACTTGACAAGAGGCTTACACAATACAGGAAGAAGACTTAGGATAGGGGTGTAGGGAAGGGACACTCATATTTGTCAGGCACATGGCACTCGTTCATGAAAAAGATACTGCTAAGTGCATACACACACAGTACCCATACTAACAACAGTTCTATCTGGCTGGTATTCCCATGTTATAGAAGAGGAAACTGTCCCAGAGAAGTTCATTAAATCAATATATATTAATTGAGTAGCTATGTGCCAGGCATTGTACTAGAAGCATTGCACATCAAAAAGCCAGATATATTCTCTGCTCTCCTTGTCTAGAGTGGGGAACAAACAAGTAAACATCATCACAGTGTAAATGTAGTGAAGGGGAAAGAAGAGGATAATGATGAGACCCCATAGGAAGAAACTAGTCCAGACTTGGTGGTGAGGATGTGACAAGAAAGACCTCTCAGAGGAAGAAACTTGTACATTGAGCCCTGAGCAAGGGAAGGACAGTATCTGGCTAGTGTTCATCAAGCCATTTTCCTTTTCCACCTGGGAATTCAGCTAGATTACATTTCTCAGACTCCCTTGCAGTTAGCAAGGCCATTGACAGCATTCTGACCCATGGAATCCGGGCAGAAATGATGTTGGCCACCTCCAGGCCTTTTTTTGAGCAATCCTCCACACTCTTTCCCCATCTTCTGCCTCAATGAAGAGAACTCCAAAGACCAGATAAGGGCAGAGTCTCAAGACGAAGGGAGTCTGGGTCCCCATAAAATCATGAAGCAGAAAGTATCCCATGCCAACCAACCTGCATAAGTTTGTGGTAGTGTGAGAAAGAAATATTTGCCATGTTAAGGCACTAAAACTTGGGAGTAGGTTGTAGTAGTCAATAATGTGGCGAGTTATACCTAAGAGCTTACCAGGGGAGGGACTGGGATTAACCTATGTCTTCAATTATAATGCCCCTCCCACCAGAATTGCTCCAAGACTGGTCCTAACCCACCAGCAGCCTGGGACATGAGCCTCCAAGTACATCCAGCCCTGTATGTATCTAAACAGTCAAGGAGATAGAAGTTCTAGGGTTGTCTGAAAGTCATCCAGATTCAGACTATAGGCCTGAGATCAGCTGTGCAGCAAGAGATTGGCAAATGGTGAGGTTTCCATGCTACAGGCAGCCAGCAGCCCCCATCCATGTGTCTCCATTTCCCCATTTGCAAATAGGAAATGATAAAAATGTGTTCTGTTTTCTAGAAAAATAAAAACTTTAGATTAAATAATAATTTTAAATTAATCCTAGTATATTATAGAGGAGGGGAAATTTTGATGCCATAATTTTTCTCTTCGTGGTGGTGTTGGACTTAAATCAGTTGAAATGTATTTCTGTACCACAATTTAAGTTTCAATAAAAGTTTGCTTGATTGTCTAGTGACATTCAAAAAAAACAAACAAAAAAAATGTGTCCTGTTTTTTAAAATCCAGTGATAAGGGAGTCTTAGCGAACAAGTAATAAGAAGCACTAAGTACCTTTGAAGAACATTTCCCACTGACTGGATTTTGTGACAAAATGGATGTGCAATGAGGGAGAAGGAGTCTGGGATTATCCCTCAGTTTCTAGCTTTAAATATTCATTCCTTCATTTACTCTAGTTTGCTAACCAATATTGACTGACTACTTGCTTTGTAGCAGGTAAGATTCTTGTTGGGTTACAACAGTGAATGAGACAAATAATGATGAAGTGACTTAGAAGACATAAATTGAGGTGAGTGGTTGAGAGTAACTGGTAAAGGCAAGAACAATTATCAAGGAAGGGACATATGAGCTGACAAAGACACAATGAGAAGGGCTAGCCAGACACAGAACTGAGGAAAATTGAGGAAAGAATGTGCAGGAAAGAGAAAATGGTGGGGGAACACCAGGCAGCAAAAAACTGGACCATGTGGCACAGTGGTGAAGTGAGGAAAAGAAACTGCATGCTAACCTTACTCCGAAAATGTCTTTTCAAGTATGGTTTTAGTTTGAACATGTGGCCTTCTAGACCATCAAAGGCAGAAGCTCTAGAGGGCCTTTCAGAGGCTGTGATATTGTAATTTATAATTTAAAAATATGTGTATTTGGTCTTCATCCCCGTTTCTGGCACCAGATTCCAAAAACCCTTGGAATATTCTGTAAGGAGAGCCAGAAAGGTGTCCTTTGTCAAGTTAATGAGGAGATTTTTGGAAACTACCTAAAGATGGAGGCCATTTGCTAAGGGAACTAACCATGTGATTAAAGTGTTAGAACTTTCAGTCCAGACAAGCCGGTGTAGCTCAATGGATTGAGGGTTGTCCCAAGGACTAAGAGGTCCAATTTGATTCCTTGTCAAAGCACATGCCTGGGTTGTGGGTTTGATCGCCAGTTGGGGGGCATGCAGGAGACAGCCAATTGATGTGTCTCTCTCACGTCAATGCTTCTCTCTCTCTCCAAAGAATCAATAAACACACATACATGTGTGTGTGTGTGTGTGTGTGTGTGTGTGTGAGAGAGAGAGAGAGAGAGAGAGAGAGAGAGAGAAATAGCTGGAACTTTTCTGCCAGATAAGCAAATATTATTGTATACTAATATAGTATTTCCTGTGGGCCATCAGATTCTCAGTAATGAGGGCTTGTCCTTGGAGCACCAGGGGTCATAAATATTATTGACATGGCAGGGTTGAGGTGGGATGGGGGGGAAGACTTATGTCAGTGTTGGTGGTTGCCGTGTTAATTATTTGAGCAAGCTATGGATAGTACAGACAGTGGAGAAGAAGTTGAGGACAAGATAGTGATGCAGCAACCCCCTTCTGCCTACCCTACCTCTTCTGCCCTGGGTCCTAGTCCCCAGACTTAATCTGCCTTCAGCCCCTTTCCTCAGATTCTAGGCTTTGATTCTACATTTAGCCACAGTCACTTCGTTCTGGCTTTGCCAGCTGATGGATCACCAGACAGCCTCTCCTGTCTCCCCTTCCTCTTATTCAGGGAGTCCTCTGGTTGGCTGATATTTTGACCATATTTAATATTGTTTGATGCTAAATAGAATAAAACATATATTAAAAAAAAAAAAGAAGAAGAACTCTCAGTCCCACCCTGCTGTCCTCCAGGGAGTGGAGAGGGGCTGGAGGTTAAATCATGGCCAGTGATTTTTTTTTTATTGCTTTTAGAGAGAGAGGAAGGAAGACGGAGAGAGAGATAGAAACATCGATGAGAGAGAACATCGATTGGCCACCTCCTGCATGTCCCCCGCTAAGGATTGGGTCCACAACCCGACAGGTGCCCTGACCAGGAATCAAACTGGCAACCTCTTAGTGCATGGGTTGATGCTCAACCACTGAGCCATACCAGCTGGGTTGATTTTTTTTCTTTCTTTTTTTTGAGAGTAAGGTAGAGAAACATCAATCTATTGTCTCCTCTATGCACCCTAACCAGAGACCTTTCGGTGTGCAGTGCACTGAGTCACATTTGGCCAGGGCAATGTCCAGTGATTTAATTAATCATGTCCTTATAATGAAACCTCCATAAAAACCCTAAAGGACAGGGTTTGGAGAGCTTCAATTTTGATGAATACACAGAAATTAGGGAGAAAGTGGCATGCTCAGTGAGAGCATGGAACCTTCGAGCCCTTTCCCCATACCTGGACCTATGCATCTTTTCCTCTGGCCGTA